TGAATTATTTTTAGAAATCACAAGTTGTTATTGACTAAGATTTTCGACCAGTTAGATGTACTGCCTTTGTCAAAATAAATGCGTCATTATGACAAGGGCCAGTCACGCAGGTGAAGTCTACAAAATTACACCTAGTGACCAATGTGAGTATAAATAGATAGTAATATACCAAAAGTCAATAACTACTAGCATGAAGGTTAACTTCACATGTATGTATATGTATGCTTAGACGTTTTGTTAAAATGCCTTCATTTTTTTAATTAATTTCTGGACATCACAAGCACAATGTTTTCTCCCCGAGAAGAAAATTAGATGCGTAGGTCTTTAGGCCCTTTTTGCATTCCTCCCATCACTGCTATTGTCATTAAATGCAAAACTTGTCACATCGATACATCCATCCTCTTGTAGGATCGCTCAATTTTGTTTATCTCATTGTTGGATTCTTTCAGTACCGTCTCATCTGAGATACACTTTTCCACCAGATGCATCTTGATCAGACTAATCATTACTAATACCTTGTCTAGTTACAATCAAATTATCCATAATTGAAGTCTCAAGTTCATCACCTGAACCTCAATGAATAATATCTTTTTAACAATTGAAGGCTTATAAATAAATCACGCTCTGCTTCACTAGATACACACTGTTCAATGCCTTCTCTCGCTTTCACAATTCCTATGCGAAAAGTTTACATAAATTATCTGCAGTCATTAATTAATTCACCAGTACCAGAATTCAATCAATTGAAGGTCACCGCAAGCTACCAATTTGTAATAGTCTCGAATGAGGTGATTTTAAAAGTAGCAAAATACTTCCATATAACAGTGAATATTGATAAAAATTCAGCCTTAATGTAGAGTTAAAAAAAATACTTTTTTCCTAATAAATGAGAGAATATTTACTAGAATTTGAATGCATACATTTACCAGAAAAATATGATTGTTAGTTTGGTATTTTTAGTGTGGTAAAAGAAATAAAATAAAAAAATCTGAGCTCATCAGTGTGCGTATAGATGGAAATGACATGGATGAACTTTTGCTATGGTTTCTCTTATAGAAATGAATGTGAACTGGCGCATCGGCTTTGTGTCTGCTAGTTGAGTGGAATCAACTATAGAGTTCTGTTTTGAGTCTATATTGATTAACTAAATACAATACAGTAAAGCATTCCAAACATAACGATTCCATGCACAGTCACGACATCTACAACTACCCACCTAGAATTGAAGTATTATTCACAATGACAATTCAAGGAATATTGTGTAAAATCAGCAATATATTGAGATATTGGCGTAATTTAAAAACTAAACTAAACCGTTAAGTCAAAAGTTCAGTCTGCTTACAAGAACCAATAGAATTACTATGATTGTTTTCGTCGTATGGAAAAAAAATATTACACTGAACTTCCATAATATATATTCGATATATATACAGTTCCTGCCAATATCGGAAAATATTCTTAAAAACACATAGAATGTGGATGCAGAAACACCGCTCTTCATACGCGGAAATAACCTTGAAAAAAACAGTCCTTTGTGATCGTGTGTTATTTTTAATATCACGTGACTGGTATAATAGAAACATCTCGCAGCATTTTCCGACGTGAGATAACAGACATAAAGTAAACGTATGTTTGTGTAGTAATGTCTGTCTGAAATCCGTGGATATAATTAATAGGGAAAAAGCTTGAGACACCACTTGTAATATTCATACTATATGAGGTAGTGTCAGGTAACTTACCCCTATTACAGAAATCTGAGACCTAATCAGCCCAGACCAGTAACGTGTTTTATCGATTATTGTCCCGCCATTGATTACTAACTCATAGAACACTCCTCTATGTCAATGTCTCGCTCTCATGTACCGTTAGCGACATTTCTGCAGCAAAATATCAGCTTTGTACCGTTTGCATCACATCGCATCTAGTGCGAAGTAAAAACACCGTCCACGCCTACAAGCTGGTGATCACTCTTAAAGTGTAATCATAATAATCAAAAGTACTAAGCTAAAGAAAACTATTTGTTTTTTATTTTCGCTGAAGCAAACATTGTGGATCATAGATTACACAGCTGGGCATGTTACATTCGAATTGGTAAGAAGGGGTGGCAGTATGGTCACATGTGAGTGCCATGTTAAATTATTGGAGCAATATTCGGTATGGAAACAGCGCTAGTACAATAATAGTTTAGGTGAACTCTTGCAGACCAATTATTTCGATAAGGTTAAGAGGTTAAGATATTTGGTAGAAGCATACAGTCAATTTATATATGGTGAGTCATGCGTGACGAGTTGCACAAAACTCCCATCACTGCTGTTGGCATATTATATGACGTAGTGTCAAGGCAACCTCACCAATTAAGGGATTGTTTATTATTCAGCCCACTGCACATGCGCAATCACAGAGAAATAAATGTACGTTTAAAGTTTTTGCTTTTTTCAAATTTGCTGCGATTTATATTGTCCAATGCAGAATGACAACTTTTCAATAAATACAAGCGTAAGTACAAAAATAGTCCGGGTTAAATGTCGCAGACCTTTTATTGTTCAACTTGAGAGAGAGGTTGAAACAACCAGCTAATTTATACATGGTGAGTCATGCGTGACGAGTTGCACAATACCTATACTGTTGAATAAATGGGCGTTCATTATTCGATCTATTAGAAGTGCATCGCTGAGTGATGACAATGACAAATTGATCTGTTCCATGAGAATCAGTTCAAACATGTTTAAATTACACTGCCTTACCGACACTTGAATGAAATCGTGCACAGTTCACGGGGCTGGCATGTAATCACTGGGAGCCCAGGAACTATAATCAACTGTACACAGACTCTATAAGCGGGGAGTGGGAGTATCGGATGGTATCTAGTGTAAGAAATAGACAAGGGATGAAAGCTCCAGCGAGCCTATACTATTTAAACTGAAAAAAAAAACAGACGAAAAAAATGAAAAATTAAATCTTGAAGAATATTCGTTGCTCTTTCAAATTTCGCCAAACACTTACCTTTATTTTACGGACATCACTAGAATAAATCAAGTAAAATACAAGAAAATACTCCATTTACGAACAAAGAACGGCTACATAGAAAGCACGGCACAGTTGGAGGCGTGGCCTGTTCACAATTTATCATAAAGCAATTACACAGCTGGTTAGGGCAAATAATATTCTTGAAGCTGGTATTTTTTAAAGATTTTATTTTCCATTTATTTCCAGTTTAAAAAAAGTATGGGCTTGCTTGAGCCTAAACCCCTGGATACCAGCCGTTCCACCCCACCGCTCATTAAGACTATGACAGTTGATTATAGTTCTGTGGGTATAACAGGGTTATTTTACAAAAGACTGTTGTTGCTGTTCTTTTATAAAGGTTGCTTAGTTCCTAAAATGATCGGCATGGTTCTCAGGGACGATCAGCCAGTTCGTCCTTGTAAATTTGCCACGGCATGACACAATAGAAATAATGTGCCAGCAATCTCAGCACACAATATGGTGTGTGTAAACAAAACAATATTGTGAGCGGCGTTCTTCTGTGATTCCTGGCACTTTCATCGGCAATTAAATATTATCTTCATTTAAATTGTGACGTTGTCTTGTATTTTTTGTATCTCTATATGATTGACATACAATGAGGTATCGCTTTGCATGATTGTAATGAATATTCTGACGGTATTGTAATCTGTCTGACTTCCTGACTTCCTCGACTTGAGTGTGAACTGTTTGTTTACCCGCAACGCGGTTCGAGACAAAAGAACCCTAGTCGTTTCCAGACCGGGAATTGAGACTGTGATATACTATAACCATATTGTGAGCGGCGTTGTTGGTTGACACCGACAAGTAATTAAATACATCCGAAACATGGACAATGTGAACACAGATAGTCAGCCATGTGACAGGACATTCACATCTCATGGTCTTACTCGAATAACATCCCACTGCTAAGTTAACGACCTCTACATGTTTTAATATACTACATTATCAAAATATAAAGCTGAGCTGCTATCTTGAATTTATATTGCAGACAAAGTTACTCGATGATCTTCCTTCAAATTCAAGCATGTACAATATTCTCACGTAAATTACCATTTAGAATGATTTCTTTTTTGAAATAAAAACAACATTTTTATTGATCTGATAATCTGGAGTGTAGTGACTGAACTGACTGACGACTCGAGGGTAATTTGGCCTTATGAGAGAAGCCTTAAGACTTCATTGATAAACGTAATCAGGTCATTACTATTAATTCACCTGTCTGCCACGTATTTGCATGAATTTCATAACTGAAATATGCACATATACACAGCTACTTCTTTTTTGAAGCTAACAGCTTACTGCTCCACTGAACAATGCAATCAATGCAACGCAATACAATCGCCGTCATTTGACTCCGAGTCGGTTTTCACATAGGAAGTACAAGGACCTAGTACCTTCCATGGTTTTTTTCAAATGACGACTTAAGCCTAAGCGCCATTTTAATTTTCTGGAATCCTTACCAAATTGTGTGCATTCACATAATCAGCGAGCTGATCACACAAAATCAATCCTGGATAATCCTGCAAAGTCACCAGGAGAGGGAAGCTTTAGTGCATGCCAATTGACAAAGAAAGTAAGACAAAATGAATAGAAAATAATAAGTTCTAAAAATATATATCTAGTCTAAGGTTCTCCGGAAGTAGTTTTACTTATAGGCGGTAAAGGGTGGGTGGGGGAGGTCTGTGGTACACACCTCTCCCGACATTACTATATCGCCACCGATGCGCATCACCCTGTACTGCCTATAAACAAGTCTCCGGTGTTTGCGATCGTTTCCTACACCTGACATTACCCTCTCACCTACACCTGCTCCAGGCATGTCTGTGGTACACACCGCATCACCCGACATTCCTGTATAGCCACACCCGTTATTGGCATTTCCACGGTGCACACCGCCTCTCTCAACCACCCTGTACCACCTATTACAAAATTCCCGGCGTTTGCGATCATTTGTCGCCTACACCCGACGTTACCCTGTCACCTACACCTGCTCCCAACATCTTCTTCTGACATTCCTGTACTGTTACACCAGCTCCCGGCATTTCCACGCTGCCTGTCCTAAGCACCATGTACCGCCAATTACAAAATCCTCGGCATCTCTGTGATGCACCCCACCTCTCCCGACATTCCTGTACAGCTACACCCGCTGCCCACATTTCCACGGTGCACACCGCCTCTCCAAAACCACCCTTAACCACCTACTACTAAATTCCCGGCATTTATGATCATTTGTCGACTACACCCGACGTTATCCAGTCACCTACACCCGCTTCTGGCATGTCTGTGGTGCAAACCCCTTCTCCCAAAATTACTGTACGCCACACACGCTCCCAGCCTTTCCTCGGTGCACACCGCCTCTCCCAACCACCCTGTACCGCCTATGAAACAATCTCTGGCGTCTGTGATCGTTTGTCACCTTCACACGCTCCCAGCATCTCTGAGCCTGACACCGCTCCCGGCATATTCACGCTGCACGCTGCCTGTCACCATGTACATTACAAAATCCCAGGCATTTGCGATCGTTTGTCGCCTAAAGTCGCGTCACCCTGTCACCTACACCCGCTCTTGGCATTTCTGTGGTACACACCTCCTCTCCCGACTTTACTGAATCGCCACCTCCGCTCCCGGCATGTCCACGCTGCGCACCGCCTCTCACACCCACCCTGTACCGCCTATAAACAAATTTCCGGCGTTTGCGATCATTTGTTGCCTACACCCGACCTTACCCTGTCACATACACCGGCTCCTGGCATGTATGCGGTACACACCGCCTCTCCAGACATTCCTGTACCGCCATACCCGCTCCCAACATTTCCACGGTTCACACCACCTCTCCCACCCACCCTGCACCGCCTATGAAACACTCTCCGACGTCTGTGATGGTTTGGCGCCTACACCAGAGGTTACCCTATCACCTACTACACCCTCTCCTGGCATCTCTGAGCTGCACACCGCCTCTCCCGACATTCCTGTACGCCACACATTTATCTCCTTGTTAGATTCATTCTGAACCGTCTCATCTGAGATACACTTTTCCTCCAACCCTTACGATCGCTCTATTGTTTTTATCTCATTGTTGGATTCTTTCTGTTCCATCTCATCTGAGATACACTTTTCCTCCAACCCTTATGATCGCTCTATTTTTTTATCTCCTTGTTACATTCTTTCTGTACCGTCTCATCAGAGAAACACTTTTCCATCATCTCTTACGATCGCTCTATTTTTTTCATCTCATTGTCAGATTCTTTCTGAACCGTCTCATCTGAGATACACTTTTCAATCATCTCTTACGATCGCTCTATTTCTTATCTCTTTGTTGGATTATTTCTTTACCGTCTCATCTAAGAAACGCTTTTGCATCATCTCGTATGATCGCTCTATTTTTTTATCTCTTTGTTGGATTATTTCTGTACCGTCTCATCTAAGATACACTTTTGCATCATCTCGTACGATCGCTCTATTTTGTTTATCTCATTGTTGGATTATTTCTGTATCGTCTCATCTGAGATACACTTTTCCATCATCTCTTACGATCGCTCTATTTGTTTTATCTCATTGTTGGATTCTTTGTGAACCGTCTCATCTGAGATACACTTTTCCATCATCTCTTACGATCGCTCTATTTTTTATCTCTTTATCTCTTTACCGTCTTATCTAAGAAACACTTTTGCATCATCTCGTACAATCGCTCTATTTTTTTATCTCTTTGTTGGATTATTTCTGTACCGTCTCATCTAAGATACACTTTTGCATCATCTCGTACGATGGCTCTATTTTGTTTATCTCATTGTTGGATTATTTCTGTATCGTCTCATCTGAGATACACTTTTCCATCATCTCTTACGATCGCTCTATTTGTTTTATCTCCTTGTTAGATTCTTTCTGAACCGTCTCATCTGAGATACACTTTTCCATCATCTCTTACGATCGCTCTATTTTTTTTATTTCATTGTTGGATTCTTTGTGAACCGTCTCTTCTGAGATACACTTTTCCATCATCACATACGATCAATCTATTTTTTTTATCACATTGTTGGATTATTTCTGTATCGTCTCATCTGAGATACACTTTTCTATCATCTCTTACGGTCGCTCTATTGCTTTTATCTTATTGTTGGATTCTTTCTGAACCGTGTCATCTGAGATACACTTTTGCATCATCTCGTACGATTGCTCTATTGTTTTTATCTCATTGTTGGATTCTTTGTGAACCGTCTCTTCTGAGATACACTTTTCCATCATCTCTTACGATCGCTCTATTTTTTTTATCTCATTGTTGGATTATTTCTGTATCGTCTCATCTGAGATACACTTTTCCATCATCTCTTACGACCGCTCTATTTTTTTTATCTTATTGTTGGATTCTTTCTGTATCGTCTCATCTGAGAAACACTTTTCCATCATCTCTTACGATCACTCTATTGTTTTTATCTCATTGTTGGATACTTTGTGAACCGTCTCATCTGAGATACACTTTTCCATCATCACTTACGATCAATCTATTTTTTTTATCACATTGTTGGATTATTTCTGTATCGTCTCATCTGAGATACTCTTTTCTATCATCTCTTACGGTCGCTCTATTGCTTTTATCTTATTGTTGGATTCTTTCTGAACCGTGTCATCTGAGATACACTTTTGCATCATCTCGTATGATCGCTCTATTGTTTTTATCTCATTGTTGGATTCTTTGTGAACCGTCTCTTCTGAGATACACTTTTCCATCACCTCTTACGATCGCTCTATTGTTTTTATCTCATTGTTGGATTCTTTGTGAACCGTCTCATCTGAGATACACTTTTCCATCATCTCTTACGATCGCTCTATTTTTTTATCTCATTGTTGGATTATTTCTGTATCGTCTCATCTGAGATACACTTTTCCATCATCTCTTACGACCGCTCTATTTTTTTTATCTTATTGTTGGATTCTTTCTGTATCGTCTCATCTGAGAAACACTTTTCCATCATCTTTTACGATCACTCTATTGTTTTTATCTCATTGTTGGATACTTTGTGAACCGTCTCATCTGAGATACACTTTTCAATCATCTCTTACGATCGCTCAATTTTTATATCTCATTGTTGGATTCTTTCTGTACCGTAAGTATAATTGTTAATTCGGTATTATTTTTTTTAAAAGAGGGATTGTTCTAGATTATTTTTATTGGAGATATAATCGTTGCTCTTAATTATTTATTTATTTCACCTTATTCATACACGTCTAGATAGCCTATTCGCTGATCTCTCATAGCACCCTGTTAAAATACAAAACACTACAATTCATCATTACTAACATTAGTAAATATAAATAGAACGTATATACAAAATTAATTATCTCATCTACACACACGACTACACCAAATTATATCTGTACTCTGATGGTATTCTCACGATGTTTCGTCCTGAATGAAGAGCTTATGGAAAATGACATGGGCGAACGTTTTATGCATAGACCATCATCTTTTCTGTCAAATTTGATGATCGTCGCCAAGGGTTTGTATGGTTTCTTTTATTGAAATGAATTGGAACTGACACATCTGCTTTGTATCTCATGGTTGAGTGAAAGCGACTATAGAGTTCTGTTTTGAGTCTATATTGATTAATTAAATACAACGCAGTAAAACATTCCAAACAGAAGCACAGACTATAACGATTCCATGCACAATAACGACATCACAGCAGTAACATGGACTAACAGCCCGACGTGTGGAATGAAGCAATCATTTTTGTACGCTTGGAAGTTGAGGTTGGGATAATTTGAAATGATGTCTATACGCGGCTTTATATCACTGACGAGTTTTAGCAGACATCTACAACTACCCCCAGGAATTGAAGTAATTTACACAATAATAATTCAAAGAATATTGTGTAAAACTAGCAACATACTGAGGTACTGCTGTATTTTATTAGTAAAACATTGAGTTAAAAGTACAATCTGCTTACACGAACCAATCAAATTACCGCGATTATTTTACATGATATAGTGAACTTCCATATATATATTCGGTATATATATATATATATATATAAACACCGCTCTTCATACGAGGAAATAACCATGTGTTATTATTTATATCACGTGCCCAGGACAATGGAACACTTCGCAGCATTGTCCAACGTGAGGCAATCGACATAGAGGAAACCTAGTTTCATGTAGTCTGAATTCCGTGGATATAATTAGTAGGATAGAACCTGCGGCATCACGTTTATTTCTACAATCTGAAAACCTCACCAATTGAGGCACGATTTATTATTCAACCATAACATCCACTGCAAATACGCAAATTGATACAATAATATGCATATTATATGACGAAATATCAGCTCCGTGCTGTTTGCATCGCATGCTTTTAACAGGAAACCATCCCATGTTGCCATCCTACCCAAATATTGTGGGTTAGATTGTTCATATATTACAGAGATAGACATGTTACATTCGAATTGGTAAGAAGGGGTGGCAGTATGGTCACGTGTGAGTGCCATGAAAAATTATTGGAGCAATATTCGACATGGAAACAGCGTAAGTACAATAATAGTACAGGGGTACTGTTGCAGACCCATTATTTTTTCGATATGAGAGAGAGGCTGTGCAAATATTGGTAGAAGCATACAGTCAATTTATACATGGCGAATCATGCGTGACGAGTTGCACATTACCTATAATGTTGAATAAATGGACGTAAATTATTCGATCTATTAGAGTGATGAGATACATGACAAATTCATCTGTTCCATGAGAATCAGTTTGAACACGTTGAATAACAATGCCTTACCGACACTTACCGTGCACAGTAGTTATACAAAGTCTGTGATTTAAAATGTTATTTTTACAAAAGACCGTTTTTTTCTAAACATTGGTTAGAACCTAAAATGAGCGGAATGACTCTCAACCGGTTCGTCCCTGTAAATTCCTACTGCACTACGCAATAGAAACAATGTGCCAGCAATCTCAGTTTACAGAATTGTGTGTGAATACCTGGCACTCTTATCGTCAATTGATTTTTTCCCCTTTAAATTGTTACGTTGTCTTGTTTTTTGTTGTATCTCCATGTGGTTGACATCGACAAATAATTAAATACATGCGAAACATGGCCAAAGTTAAGCAGCCGAAATAAAAGTGTGAACTACTGATAGTAGATGAGATTATTACAGGT